TGTGACTGCCATCACCTCGGCTGTAGGTTGTACTGACAGAGTTGCGAGCAGCCTGGAGGGGTCAGAGGGCCACTGAGGGCCATCCATGGCTCCGTCCTTGATAGCTGATTTACCTGTCCGCAGCGACAGTACAGCATCTTTGGTGTGGGATCCTTGGATCTCTACACCTTGAACTACCAATGGTAGGTAGTATCCGGTGAGCTCTGACTGTCTCAGCTCGCAGAGGAGGCTTTCTTGTTCAGTCAGAGTTGGGTTCACCGGTTGGATCTCTTCGGTTCCACATGCTTTTGAAGGCATACTTACCGGGACTGTGTTCTCTGCCGAGAGGTCCTCGGTGCCTTCTGCAGTGCCTGCTGTTGGGCAGTCTGTGACTGTCTCAGGAGGCATGAGTATTGGCAGAGGTTTGCTCACTCTGGCCCACATTGTCTGTTCACCATAATCTATAATCGCGTCAAAGTGATTTATAAAATCCTGGCCGATCAAAAATGGGAATGAGTCAACCGGAGACACATGTACCGGGTGGTATAGTGTCATCTCGCCATCCTGCATGTGAACCATAGCTATAGCTGTTAGGGTTGTCCTCGTCTCTGCGAGGCCCTGCAGTCCTATAGCACATTCTATGAGAGGTATTTCCCTGTGAACACCGTTAGCGGTGGTCCTGAGCTCCTCGAACAGTTTGGCTGATATAATAGTTATGTCGGCTCCACCATCCAGTAGGGCTTCATGTGTGACGACCCCTTCAACTGTGATCGACAGGTAAGCTTTTTTAGCGACCCCCTTTCTGATCAGGTTACACAGGAACCTTGTAGGTTTTGGCCTACATTTCTTCTTACGTTTACCTTTACCTGTGTAATCCCGGTTTTTCCGAACCGTTGGTGCAGTTGCTGCTGCTCCTGGGAGTTCGGCTCTTGACGGGCGTCCGGCATTGATGTATGAGATCACCCGCTCACTGTGTATTGAGGGGCTCTCATTGTTTGTAACAACAAGGTCCTGGTGGCTGTCCGTGACAGCGGCAACATTGTTGTTTGTGTCACCCTGTTTTGACTGAACCATTAGCACAGCTATTGCTGTTTCTGAGGTTTCAGTTTGTGATGGGTCACCGTCGGTGACGTGTGATTGTACCCCCCCTTTCTCAGGTGAGGGCGTGTCAGAGTTTACAACAACATCGTTATGGTGACTGTCTGTGACAGCATTAATGGTGTTGTTTGTGTGCTCTGACTTATCAGCAACGATATTGCCAAACAACGAGTTGGGTTGTTTGTCCGTGGCAACACCTTTCAACAATTCCAAGAACTGACGCACACTATCTGTCTCGTCCGAGCTCAGAGGTCGGGGGCTCTCTTTCTGGATCTGCTGCTGTTTCTTTTTCGTCTCAGGCTGTTCAGGCCGACGTGGTGGGGAAGCAGGTCCCCTCCTCTGGGGTTCCCAGTGGGATCCCTGGTTGTATGGGTCACTTTTGGTGCCATACTTTTTACCCTTAGGGCGTTCGCCCCCCTTCTGGTACATTCGTTCATCCTCTGGTTTCTTGGGAAACCATTTAGGATCTCGTCTGGACTAGGGGGCACTCACCTGTTGTGGTTTGGCTGCTGGGAAACCTCGTTTCCTCTCGCCTTTTTTGGGAGGGGGAGCTGAAGCTCTCGTCCCTTCCAATTCTAATGACTGGGCAGGAATCCTCTCACCTGGGAACACCTCATTGGGTGTTTTGGCCTGTGAACGGGCTTCAAAGACATTCACAGCACAACTTTTTATCTCACTGATGGATTTCTCTTTGAAATTAGCCATCATTTGCACTGACATCCTTATGTCAGGGTGGAGATTTTTGCTGAAAATGAACTTAAACGCTTCCTCCTCCTCCATGCCGGTCTCGTTCCTGTAACCAAAATAAGCCTGCAAAATCCTGGAATAATATGCCCTGGGTGCTCATTCTTACCTTGCATGACCTTGTCGGCGGCTGGATAACCGCCAGGTCCCGCGCAAGGGGAATACTCTTTCATAAGAGCAGCACATAACAGGCGGTAATCCTTTTTTGTGGCATCAGGTTGACGCTCTATGAAGGAAAACACCGTCCTGGTGAAGTGAGCCTGATCAAACCTACTTTATCCTCAACGGTAGCGTTGGGATAGCTTCTTAATTGGAAGTCAAGGTCGTTCAGATAGGCCTTAGTGTCAGTTGAACCCAACGGCCCTGGCTCAAAACGTTGGAAATATTTTACAATTTTGTGCAAATCTGAAATGGAGAGCAGCGGCTGTGTGATTGGTGTGGTAGGAACCAAAATAGCATGTGGAGGTGAGTCGCTAGACTCACGTGGAGGTGACAGAAGGGGATTAAGTGCAGGAGGTGCAGCAAAATCCTTCTGAGGTGGTGGTGGGTGACCTGGACTCTGACTTTGTTCGCCTTTGAGTTCCAGACAACCTTGCCCCATGTCAGAAATCTCATTTGTTGCTGCGGCAATTTTTTCCTCACAGGCTTTTAAGCGTTCACGTGATGTATGACATTCACTTTGTAAACGCACGCCTTGTTGGACTAACGCCGCTTTTTACAATCTGCACTCGTTCAGAGCTTTTGATGTGAGCTTCACCTGTCGTAGCGCATCATTGTCTGAACACAGTGCTTGGTACTTAATCCCTGTTTCATGTAGCTTCACCTCATATGAGTCTGTTTGTAACGACATCTGAGCTTGTGAGAGCTCTTTCTCACGTTTTAATTCATTTGCCCAGGTCTCCTTATTAAATTTAAACTGTGCCATGAGTCTTAGATACTCCTCTGTCTCGCTGTTTATCCTTATTGCAAGGTCTTCAGCCTTGTTGGCCTCAATATAAAATTTAGCTTTCAGCAAGAGTGCTAATTTAGCCTGATGTTCATAGCTTGACTTTGTTATGTCTGCAGAAGTCACACTTTCTGCAACTTTCTTCAGTTCGTCCAATAACTCTGTTGAGTTCATGCTGTCCACCTGTTCAACATATGGATGTAAGGATTCTGTTAGCAGCGTTAACGCTCTTTCTAACCAGTCCTTCTCATCACATGGAAAAATATGAGCTTCTGTCACATCTGCCATGGTAATCCACTGTTCAGCAAACCTATCTGGTGAAATAGTTGCAAACTTAGAGTTTTTAACAGGTAAATATTTTATTTAAGTGAGCAGAGAGATTCACACACTATTTTAGCTCTGTGGGTCAATCAACAGTACTGTTATAAGCCAACTTTTCAATAAATGGGCCTCTTCTCTGGGTCTTACCCCATAAATATTGTAAGTAAATGCCTCCTTCTGGCAGTGTTACTTAATTATGAGCTTATTTTTAACAGATACCATGAACCAGGCCTTTTCAGTGTTAATTTTACTCAAGTGCACTTAAAATTAATAAACCTGCAATTTTTCCAAGAGTCTCACAGCAACTTTAGTTTTCAAATGCTTTTTAAGCAGTTTTAATTTACCAGAATTCGCTATTTAAACAGTACACAGAAACCAGGCTTGATTAACAAAAAAATAATAATAATAATTTTTAAATGAAAGCGAGTGTTCAGCTTTCTTTCAGGAAAACTGTTATACTCCTTTTTCAACAGCAGGTGGCGGTGTAAGCTTACTTTTACCGGTAAGAGTCTTATGACAACTTCCTGTGAACCGTCCTGTTGACATCCGGTCGTTAGCTCCAATGTAGCAACGGTCGAACACGCTTCAAAACAACATTTATGGATGGATTTAAAGCTTTTAACGTGGCTTCTCTCAACAAGCACGCCTTATCTGCATGAACACATGAGCTTAGGAACAGTGTCAAGCTTTATTTAGCGTTTTTAAACACCAAGGAGGACTCTGTTAAAACAAGCTTAATTTCCGGGGTCTCGTGACTGTTCAGACACGTGCACATCGGAGGAGGGCTTTACGCACTGAAATCAGAGGGAGTGGACGCACAGAAATACGTCGCCAACTTCTCAGCGAATCAGAACGACCCAAACAGCAGTTCTCAACCAATCACAGCCCGTGTTTACCTGCACCAAGCTAGCAGTTAGCATTAACAGTCCGGTCAATTTATCGCCCATTAAAACTTCAAAAATGCACATTTTACTGTTAAAAATGTAACGAATAGCATAAAAACAGCATCTGAGGCAGCGCTCAGTTCCAAACAGCGTCTCATCCATTTAAAACACGACTCGTTCGAGTCCAATAAACAGATCCGGGTCGAACCACGAACCCCCGTTCATGCTAGAGTTTCAAACAGAATGAAGCGTCTTTCTCACTGCATCCAGCTTAGTTACACAAAACAGATTTACATCTTCCAGCTTTAAAATGAACATATTGACTTAATTGCAACTTTCTGAACACCACAGCCGTAAATCATGCCTGTACCAAGTTCATAACTCGGACTCCCATGTGCCAACATGCAGTGTCATTTCAACAGCACAGATACTCGTGTCACACATAATTTATCTCTTTAGAAACCTGTTCGGCCACCAAAATGTAGAAGGTGGGGGTTTAAAGAAGAGATGGAGGAATTTATCTCTTTAGAGACCCGTACGGAGCCACCAATATGTAGTGTGTCAAGGTCAGCTTTGCTGTACCTTCACTACTAATTATTTAAATATAACGAGTTCTCTCTTTTTCGAGTTAAATTAATGCTATGTGACGAGGTAACTGTGAGGATTGTTTAATCAGTGACAAGAGACGTTAATTTAACTTTGACCCATCAGAATAAATGTGGTCATTTATTTAACAGAATCAAAATTTAACATCAAAACATGTACACATGATTAGCTGATCTGGTTCTGATTAATAAAACTTGGCACACTTTACTAATAAGACAACAAGACATTTCTGAAGGCATCTAGATTACT